CTCTCCATTTCATTGTGCTTTCTTCAGACAGGAACAGGTAGATACACTGTCAAAGTCATGTGTGACTGAATGGTTCTATAATTCATTACTTTGAGTCTTTTATAATAGTTAAAATAAGCATTAACTTCAACAACATAGTATGGCATCAAAGATATGCAGATCTCATAACCATTTTAGATAAATTTTTGCTTAATTCTGTTAAAAATTTTAACAAGAGCAAAATAAAAGATAGATAATAGGAGAAAAGGAAGTAAATGTTTGGCCACAGAGAAAGGGACCAGCAGATGGATGAACAGGGGAGAGTGAATTAGGATGCCTTCCGGACATGCACCAACTCCTCACAATGAATATAATTTTTATGTACTCTAGACATGTACTAATAAATATAAAATTGTAAAAATAACTTTTGTTAACAGTTTAGAATGTCCGGGGGCTGAGAATTTAGCTCAGTGGCACAGTGCCTACCTGGCAAGTGTGAGGTCATTAGTTTGATTCCCAGTACCGGAAAAAAAAAAAAAAAAAAAAAAACAACAACAACAACAACAGCAACAACAAAAAAAACCAGTTTAGAATGTCCAAAGAATTGGTTGCAATAAGATATTTCATGTGAGCTCCTAGTTCATATTGTATGCTGTACACAGCCCATTGTGGAAGTGACAGTTAATATGATATTCATTATGATTTGTCTCTTTTACTTTTGTTTATTTTATTTTTGTTTTATAATACTGACAACCCAGCCAGGGCTTCAGGTATGCCAGGAAGGTCCCTACCACAGAGCTGCACCCAAGCTCCTATTTACTCTTGCTTCTCAAATGTTAGCATTTCCTACAGAGCTAGACCTGGCCATGACAGCTCTCGAGACGCAGAGCAAGCTGCTCCCTGACGCTCTCCAGTGGGTAGAAATTATCACTCCCATGGGGCAAGTGAGACAACAAGGATAGAGAACACCAAGGAGAATAAAGTTCAGTGTATTTATAGCCCAGTGCTTCTCAGGGAGGAGGGAGGCACAAGTGCACCACCATGTGAGCAGTATAGCCCGCATGCTCGTGTGCTGTTGGGGAAGTGATGTCCTCTCAATCATCCTGAGGTCAGATGTGGCCCCTGACTGTGACAAGGGCTTTCTGTGCAGCCTTGGAGAGGTGTCTGGGAAGGTTTGCATGCCCTGAGCTTGGGACATCATCAGAGGGGATGCAGATGTGACCATCAACAGCTCCTTCAGATGTTTGACTAAAGGTACGTGTCATAGCTGAGGCCTCAGATGAAAGGGTTGTGCAAGACAGTGAATAAACCAGTAACGTCAACAGCGGATACTGGACACATTTTCTGGTCGTTGTCATTACTGTAATTAGGCATTGTCTCTCTGAAGAGTAAAACAAGCACTCGGGCTCTCACTTCTCTGTCAGAAAGTATCTCTAAGTTGCTCTAAAGTAGTTACTTACAGAAAATGAACACAGGTCTCATCGTTTGGGAGTGCAGATGCCTAGATTATCCGGCATATATAACCAGTCAAGTGATGCAGCCATTCCCAGGGTAGAGTTGAGGCAGCCCTGGCTCCACATCAAGGCCCTGATGACTGACTGTGGGGACCCTGGAAGGGGCCAGGCCTCCCGGGAATCTTTCCATGGCAGCCTGCACGAATCATATGTGCTGTTAAGCACTTAGGAAATAATGATTATAACTAATGAAGTTAACATGTGTCACGCGTTTGCTGATGTCAGGCACTGCCCAGAATGTTTCAGATACAAAAATCCTACAGTGCGCCATATTTTTTGCTTTGGCCAATAGGAAACAAAGAAACATTTCACTATAAAAACAGGTAAACCGAGGGACTGAGACAGTCAACTAACATTTCTAATTGCATGATACCAAACCAAAATGAACACAGAGCTGTATGGAGTGAGCTTGTCTTGGCTTGGGGCCAGCGGCATGAAGCCAGATGCCCCTCCTCTTTCTGCTGCATATACTCAACTCTCAGTGAAAGTCCATCTCTCACTTAAGCCTTCAGAACCCAGATATTTCAGGACTTGATTCTCAGTGTAGGCTGGATCACAATAGATATTTACCCATAAACTGTCCTGAGTTCAATACCAAGAGGCTTTCAAGCGCAGAAGCTTTGCATTTTAATCTCCACTCCTTACTATCTGCTTCTTGTGTGCCTCTACAGTATGTGCATTTCTAAATCAAACAGCCTCTAACTCATGAGCACTAGCTGAGAGAGAGGAGTGAGAGCTGGGCCTCCTGTGCCGCTGCAGCGAGAGCCCGTCCTGGGACCCTGGCCCAGCCCTCAGCGTGCTCTCCGTGCTCTCCCTCCAGCACCAGGAGAAGAGGAAAGCTCCTGAAAGTGCACAGCTGCGCCGTACTTCACGGCTCCCAGCATCTCCACCTCAGCAGAGGAAGGAATCCCAGGAACAAGAAAAACGGCAACAAATCAGATCGTGCCTGGCTCACAGCTGGTTCAACCACAAGGAAAGGGAAGAGAACGTTGTTGCCTTTGTCTATATTTTAATCTCTGTGCTCCTGGTGCACTTATTTGCCATTTCAGCATTTCTTTCTAGGCCAAATACCACTTTCATCAGGTGAAATGTTAGTGGTACTTGGAGACCCTCCCCACCACGGACACGTGCTTTCCTGGCTGTGATCTCAGCCCTTTGCAAGGTCAGACATGCACCACCACGGATGCCATCTCTGCTCAGCCCGTGAGTCTGTAAACGCCAGGTGGGTGAGAGCAGCAAGAGCACCTGGAGATGAACATCTTCATGGTACAGAGAGTTGAAAACTGGTCAGACCTTGTTCCTTGTAGGCTGGGACATCCCTCTTGGCCTGCTCCTCGGCGTTGCCCAGGAAGCCTGGGACATCCTCGAGGCAGGAATGTGTGATGGGTGAGATAAGGCCGGCAGATATAACTGACGAGTCAGCACGTTAAGGAAATCTCAGTTAAAAACAAATAAGTAAACTATTGTCTCAGTTCTTTGCCTCAGCCTTAAGTGAACTACTTACTGCTACATGAAAAATGTAGATGTTTAAATTAACCACAGTGCAAAGAACATGTTTACGCATGATTTACAGTAAGCTTGAGTGCATCCTAACAGGATACTTTATGCATATGCAGTCTTCACAGCAGCCGTGTGCATGAGCTCATAGAGAGGCTGCCTCATCTTTAGGGAAGTCTGTGACAGTCAAATCACCCCCATCCTGAAGTTTGGTGCTCATGCAGAGGCCGGTAGATATCTAATTAAATAAAGTAAAGGGTTTATAGTGCACTACAGTCCTTCCCCAAGACTTAAGGACATATGTATGCATGCAGTGTAATTTTTATTATCCTCTCTTCAATGACAGATTAACAGAAAGCTAAAGAAATAGCGACAGAGTTGAGGAATAGGAGACATTTGGGTGGAGAAGTAAAACTGCCCAGAAGAGAGTGCAGGGCACAACCTCCCGTGACAGTGCACGTGCATAGATCGCCCCTGTAGCTAAAGCCCCGTGAGCACTCATGGGAATTAGCACAATGTCCCCGGCAACCTCCTAGGAACCCCAGTATCACTGCCCCCTTTCATAAGTGAGGAAATTCAGGAAGAGAAATTGTGAGTAAACTTAACTTAGGTTCAGATTAGCTGGCTACCCTGAGACTGCAAACCTTGTAGACTATTTGGGACATTCAACCACTGTGCTACCCCGCACGCATCTATGTGTCAGGTGTGTGTGACTAAATGTTACAGTGTGCCCATGCTTTTGTGAATGTAGCTAGTATGTTTGGTTATTCATAATCTGAAATCTCTACAGGTGTACGTTCTATGTTAATGTGTAAACAATGGCAGCACAGACATCAGTTTATGTTTGCAAACAGATTCCAAAACAATCCAAGGGATATCTATTCATTTTTTGCCCGTTCCAGGGAAAACACTGTCTAGATTTTGGGTTAATGATATTTCCAAGTCAGCAATCCAGACTTTAGTACATGTCCCAAAGCACTGGGTACCCGCTAGAAATGCAAAGAGTTGGACAGGACAGCAGTGTGAGGCCCACCGCATCATAGGTAAATAGTTCTATCAATTGTCAGTGACCTGATTCTCAGATTTCCACCAGTCGTGCTAAGAAATGTGAATTGTAACTGGCAGCAACGCAGTGGTGATCTCCACTAGCAGTGAGCTGCACTGGGGACATCGGAGGGAAGCCCGGAGCTGCTGGGCCACGAGCCGCCAGCGGAGGCGGGCACAGGTGGTGTGGCATGGCCAGGTGCCCTGCTTGCCCTTCAGACCTCAGGCCCCGCTTCTTCTTCTCAAGAACCCTCTCTGACCCTCTAATCGAAGCCAGTCAGCCCCAGGACATGCCCTGGTATTATTTCAAACAGCCATTTTCGCTTTCCATTTGCCTTCCCTCAAATGTAAGTCTGACTTGGGAAAAAGGGGGTTAGTTGATTGCTGAGTCCCAATGCCCACAAGGAAATTGGAAAATTCCCTGAACTCAGTAATCACTGAATAAAGAGGTGAAGAAAGCAAGTCAGGGGTAACGGAAATGGAGAGAAATGAGCAGCTGTGGAATGAACTTTGCATTGTTTTTTTGGTTTTTTTTGGTATCGGGAATTGAAGTCAGGACCTTGTGCTTGCTATGCAGGTGCTTGAGCCACAGAGCTATATCCCCTGCCCAAGCTGACCTTTTTAATTTCTAGGGTATTTGTTCATTCTGTATGAGGACATGTTAATAGCATATAATGTCTGTTTGGTAACATCTGACCACTGGTTAAAGGAAGACAGCGTTGAGCTGCCATGGCCATTTGTCCATTTCTCCTTTGGTAACTAAGCGTGTTTTGCACACATCTGCAGATAGAGTGAACACAGTATAGGACTTGCGAAAAGGTATGAGGACGAGAGGTAATTTCCAAACTTCTTGAACTTTAGGTTTGCAGAAATCTCTCTCTGCCTTGCCCAAGTCTCCAGAGGGAGGTAAGCATCGGTCTCTCATCTGGGGAACCGTTCGGAGGTCTTCGCTCTTCTCTCTTCCAGGCCATGAGTCTGAATTGCTCCCTGTGGCAAGACAACGGTGTGTCTGTGAAACGTTTCGCATTTGCCAAATTCTCCGAGGTTGCAGAGCAGTGCTTCCTCCTGTTTGCCCTGGTCCTGCTAATGTTCTTAGCCTCACTGATGGGCAACGCTCTCATAGCCCTGGCCATCCGCACCAACCCAGTCCTGCACACGCCCATGTACTTCTTCCTGGCCAACCTGTCTCTCCTGGAGATTGGCTACACATCCTCGGTGGTACCTCAGATGCTGCAGAGCCTTGTGAGCGAGGCCCCGGCCATCTCCCGGGAGGGCTGTGCCACACAGATGTTTTTCTTCACGTTTTTTGCCATCAGTGAATGCTGCCTTTTGGCCGCCATGGCTTTCGACCGCTACATGGCCATATGCTCCCCGCTCCACTATGCAACGCGAATGAGCCGTGGGAGGTGTGCCTGCCTGGCGATGATGTCCTGGGGGGTGGGCTGCACAGTAGGCTTGGGCCAGACCAATTATATTTTCTCCTTGGACTTCTGCGGCCCCTGTGAGATAGACCACTTCTTCTGCGACCTCCCCCCAATCCTGGCGCTCGCCTGTGGGGACACCTCTCATAACGAGGCTGCGGTCTTTGTGGTAGCCGTCTTTTGCATCTCCAGCCCGTTTTTGCTGATCATTGCTTCCTACGGCAGGATTCTTGCTTCGGTGCTGGGCATGCCCTCGCCTGAGGGCCGCCACAAAGCCCTCTCCACCTGTTCTTCCCACCTACTCGTGGTGACCCTCTTCTATGGCTCAGGATCTGTCACCTACTTGAGACCCAAGGCCAGCCACTCACCAGGAGTGGACAAACTGCTGGCCCTCTTCTACACAGTGGTGACCTCCATGCTCAACCCCGTCATCTACAGCCTACGGAACAAAGAAGTTAAAGCTGCTCTGCGGAGAACCTTGGGGAGCAGGAAGGCTTTGACTCAGGATAGGCACTGAGCACTACACGGATCTGCTCCTTGGAGGAGATGCACAGCCAGAGCGTGTGCACAAAAAATTAGGCCCTCTGCCCTCCTGTCAGAGGCTTCTTCTGAAACTGTCACTGGCAGTTTGGAGTCATCGCTGGACTCAGAGCTATTTTCTGATTGCGAATTCTTCAAGCAAATTGGCTGGTAAAGAATTTTACTAGCAACATTAGACAAGTTTTTGAAAGCATTTTAGTCCAGGCTGAGAACATAAATTTCCAGTTTATGTCTTGGAAGTGTGGTGGTTTCTCACTCCACGTTTGCAGATATTTCCTTGATCCAAGCCACTCCACCAGGCCCCTCCGCCATACTGTTTCTAATGTGGAGTCAGCTGACCATCGAACTCATACCTTTATGCCTATCCCATGTAGGTCTTAATCCTCTAATAACTCACAGCATATCATTTCTTTCCATAAAAGTGTTTTAAAATTCTTCAACCATAATTATTAACAGTTGTAACATAATATAGTCCCAACAAGTCCTGTGACTTGAGTATGCAAGCAAACATGTAAATAGTCCAAATAAATAAACTTGTAAATTTCAGAGATATTTGCTACAAAATGTTAGAAGAAAAATACAGGAAATTTTTGTCAAAATGTTTTTTAAAAAGATGTAAATAATATTAAAATTCAAGATATAAGAAATCAAACTAAGTAATAATGAATATAAACCATTTTTCAAGTTTTTATTTAATACACAAATTTCCATTGTGCAGATGAGTCTTGACTCGGTATACTTGGAGATCACCCAGAAAACTTCTCCTGAGAGACATGAACATGGTTACACCACAACGTGGCAGCCACAGGCCTCTATAGAGGCCTTGTCTTAATCGGAACATCTAGTTTTCAGAGAACTTCTGTGTTAACATTGGATGGATGAAGAACTAACAACTGCTCACACAGTGTGACAGATAGTGGAAAACGTGATGACACCATGACTGAAGGTTATCTGCCAAATACAAGATTTAGCAGGATGTGATGTTTCTATAGTCAGGGGAAGATATTTATGCTCATAAATGAATTGGTGTGTATTTTACTGTACATCCCTTTATTACCAAAAACTGTCCAATCCATGTAAACATAATGCTTTGCGCTTTTTACATGGCTGGTTAATAATTGCACTACAACTATGGTGGGAATGTTACGCGCAGACATTAGAAATTGTTACGGTTTATACCTAAATGTCCTTAAGCACCTTATACATTGATAGGCAGGGCTTTTCAACCATGACTGGACCATGAGGTTGCTATAGGTAAATGTGCTGTTAGGAGGCGGGGCCTGGTCTCAAAAGGCAGATCACTGGGGGTGTGACCAGGAAGGGCATATCTCCCTCCTGGCTGGACCTTTGTGTCTCATAAAATAAACCTAATGCATAATTAATTATTCTCAATATTTTCTGTGTTACATATCCCTGAAATGTCGACGTGTCTCACAAATTTGGTTCTCAGTGTCTGCGCTGTTTGGTTTCAAAGACCATCTGATGTACATTCACTTAGTAGCTGCAGGAACCACAGCCAAAGAGCAGTGTAGGTAAGGACCACTCACTTAGTTCCAGCTCCAGCGCACGGAGGGTGTCACCCAAGGTAATCTTCAAGCCTTCCCAACACTATGATCGTCCTCAGTGTATTCCGGACACCAAGCAGCCCATGGCTGACCATCCCTTCAACAAGGAGGGGCAAGAGCATCAGCATTCGGTCCAGGCAGGCTGGTTCCAGGCCCCAAGGCACTGGCTCATCCTGTCCCTCTCCTCTGAGTCCCTGCATCTCCCTTGAGCAACGAGGGGTGAGGAGGACCCAGCATTCCCGGAGGATGTGTCTGCTGGGTGACTAGTCCTAGTATTCAGACATCTTCAACTTGTGAGCTGTTCTGGCTGATTTTATTTTTCATATTTAAAGCCTCTGGTTTGGTTTTGATCAGTATATGTTCACATAATAACTTCATTTTTAGTTTAATTACATTTACTGATATGATTTAGATACACATAATGATCACATTCATTGTAGGGAATTTGTACCTGTACAAGATATATCTTAATTCCTCTTTTCTTTCCATCCCATGCCTTTTCTTCAAACCCCCTTTCCCTCCCCATTCACAAAGCTTCATTTTAATTTTATCCTTCTTTTCTCATTTTTCTTTCCCTCCCTTCCTTTTCCCCTCCACCTCCCTAGTTCTCCTTTCCTTTTGAACAGTTTCCTCCTGTTTCACAATATTGATTGTACATTTGGGTTCTTATTTATATTTTCAGTTTCTCACACCAGAGACATAATTCAGTATTTGCACATATGTATCCAATTTATTTCACTAATGGTTATGGTCTCAAGTTCCATCCATTTAGCAATAAATGCCACAATTTTATCCTTCAGTATGGCAGAGTAGTACTGCACTGTACAGAGAACACTTCTTATCCATTCTTTGGTTGATGAGCATCTGGGATAATTCCAAGATTTGGCTATTATGAACTGTGCTACTACAAACACGGGTGTGCATATTTTACTGTGGTATGATGCTTTAAATTCTTCTGGGAAAATACCAGAAGGGGAATAGCTGGGCCAAATGAGACTTCTAATTCTAGTTTTTTGAGAAATCTCCACACTGATTTCCATAGTAGTTGCACCAGTCTATAAGGTTTTTTCATGAATGAATGTTGTACTTGTCAAAAGCTTTTTCTGCATGTATTGAGATGATTATGTGATTTTTATCTTTGGCTCTGTTGATATGGGGTATTACATTTATTGATTTGCATATGTTTTTCATATCTATAATAAATTACTTCATATTTTGAAGTTATATTATAAAATGCTTATTTACTTCAGATTATTAAAAATTCCTGCTTGTTTTCACATTATGAGATAGCCTTCCTTATTCTTGGAAATAGTTCCCCTCATACTACTTTGATGGTATGAGTCTGATGGTGTCAGCTTTCATGTACACAGAATGCATAAGGCATATCTATTTTTATTTTTTATTCTGCACTCTCATATGTAGTACTGAGGGATCACTACAAAACACCAGTGGCAGAAGAAATAATACCAAAAATCAACAAATGAAATCATATCAAAGGAACAAATTCTGCACAGCAAAAGAAATAACCAACAGAGGGAAGAGACAACATACAGAATGGGAAAAATAATTTGTGACCTATTCCTCAAACAGAGGGCTAAGATCCAGATACAAAAAGAATTTTTAAAAATTGACCTTCCCAAAATGAAAGACAAAATTTAAAAATGGGCAACTGAAATGAGTAGTCGCTTCTCAGAAGTACAAATGAGCAATAAATACACAAAAAGTATTCAACATCACTGGACACTAGAGAAATTCAAATTAAAATAACACTGAGATTTCACCTTCTTCCAGAAAGAATGGCTACGATTGTGAAACTGAATAATAATAACTGCTGGTGAGGCTGTGGGGAAAAAGGAATGCTTCTACATTGTTGGAATGTAATGGTTGATTTTTTTTTTTTTTGTACTGGGAATTGAACTCAGGACCTTGCAATTGCTAGGCAGGTGCCTGTGCTGCTGAGCTACATCCCCATCCTTCACTGTTGGAATGCAAACTAGTACAATGACTATGGAACTCAGTGTGGAGGTACCTTCAAAAATGAAAAAGGGAAATTCCATATGACCAGTGGTCCCCTTCCAGATATCTTTCCCACAATGTGGATGTCATATTAAAATGCAGAGCCTTCTGGACTCATGGCCCTGAGACCAGCTGGTGTACTGTGTGAATATCATTTTTGTTAGTTTTTTGCACTTATTACTTGAAATTACAGGATTTTAAATGCTCCAGATAACCATACTGCTTATCAGGTGTTTAGTTGCCCTAAGCCATCAGTGAAGATTAATCTGAATTTGAGCATAGTTATTAAGGTCAAATTATATTTTAAGGAGTAGAGGAAGATGAGGTTTACAGAGACGGTGCCTACACAACCTTATCAGACTGGATCATGTTTTTCTGACTGTTTATAAGTCAACCATTAAAGCAGTTTTTAAATATTCACCTGGAATTATCTATCTGTATTTAAATACTTCAAGATTTTAAAAAGAATATGAAACAGCATCACTTAAATTTTAACACATTGCAAGTGTGTAAAGACAATAAGGATCAGGAGAATATCTTGTAAGTAAATATGGTCAGTATTTGGGAAATAACATGAATATTGTAATTTTTTATTCAAATTGTGAAGTAATTTACTAGAATAGATGAAAACTTTATGGTCAATGTGAAGAGAAACAATCTTATAAATACTATAGAGTTTTAACATAAATAAAATACTATATAAATGACAAGGACAAACTTTTTTCTCATTTATAAAGCTATGTTTACTTTTGTGAAATTTAAATATTCAGATTTAATGATGATGCTTCAAACTGTGTTTGCATATTTTGTCTCACAGCCAAGGATTAGAACAAAAGAATTGATCAAAAGGGATGGACAGCTATTTCATACCAAGGAGAGATGCACAAGAGCATTGCCTAGGCTGCCTTAGCAGTGTCTTCCTACCTGTCGCTATTTAGTCTCAGACCTCCCCTCCTTTGACAGTTTCCAGTCTGTGTGGGAGAGATCAGAAAACCCTGGGTGAACCTAATCCCAGATGCTTCTGAAGAATGCTCAGAGTTGACATCCCCTGGATAATGCCGAGCAGTAGGGTCTCGTAGCTTTGCAGCAGGCCTTCACCTTGTCGGGGAAGCTGCTCACAGAGCACACCCCTGGCTCTGGTATCACCAAATGTGAAGCCTGCAAATAAAGAGGATGTGCTCTTGGGTAAACTTAAACTTCTGCTTCCATGAGAAAGAAGATTTACTTCCATGATGAGAAAGGGCTTGGTGGTAACTGTGTCACCCATACCATCGGTAGTGACTAGAGCAACGGTGTAAGACTTGCGGTTGTGCACCTCACACACATTCATATACCTGCAAATACGTGTTTACTGATGGAATCCTTATGAAGGAGCTGAGAAAAGGAGATACATAGCGTTCCCAGAAAGAAGGTTACGAATTTGAAGTCAATAACTTCAATGTCATTATAGAAAATGAGCTGCCTACTTCTTTTTGACATTAAATGTTCTATTTCATTTATTTTTCCCACCCATTTTTGTTTAGAAGATTTAGCCACACTCCTTATAAATGAAAGAGAGATCACAAGTAGATAATACCCAAAAGTTCCTCAATGTTTTTCACGATTCTCTTTAAGTTGGTTCTCTTGCCAGTAACCTTTTTATTGCCCATTTAGCTTCTTTGTTTCTCAAGGTGTAGATCAAAGGATTAAGTGAAGGTGTCACTATAGAATAGAAAAGGGTGAGAAATCTTTTATGATTCTGTGTGTACTTGCTCTTGGGTTGAATATAGACACAAATTACCGTCCCAAAGAACAAGGTCACAACTATCAGGTGGGACCCGCATGTCCCAAATGCCTTCCTCCTGCCTTCTGTGAGCTTTATCTTCAGCACACTCCTAACAATGCAGCCATAGGAGACCAGAATGAGCCCCAGAGGCATTACCACATACAAGACAGTAGCTATGGAGAGTTCACTTTCCAGGAAGGTTGCATCCTCACAGGCTATTTGAATCAGGGCAGGCACTTCGCACATAAAATCGTCCACTCTATGGTGACTGCAGAGATGCAACTGGAAAACAAGGCTGGTCTGCACGGTGGACTCCACAAAACCACTGATCCAGGCCAGGGCTGCTAGTTGCTGGAGGAGCTTTGGGTGCATGATAACATCATAGTGGAGGGGGCGGCAGATGGCATTGAAGCGGTCATAAGCCATCACACTCAGCAGGACACACTCGGTAGAGCCCAGCCCCGAAAGCATGTACAACTGGATCACACAGCCAGTGTAGCTGATGATCTTCTCTGGACCCTTGAGATTCCAAAGCATCTGCGGGATGATGCTGGTAGTGAAACAGAGGTCCAGGAAGGAGAGGTTGGACAGGAAGAAGTACATGGGCGTGTGGAGTTTGGGGTTCAGGTAGGAGATGAGGATGATTGTTGTATTACCCAGCAGTGTTAGAATGTAGATGGTAGCAATGACCAGAAGAAGGACGAGCTCCAGCCGGGGCTGGTCAGAAAAGCCCAGTAAGATAAAACCTGCTGGGCTGCTAAGATTAACCCCGTTCATTGTTTCTCAGTCATGAACTGCCTTCCCTGGTATATCCTGTGTTATTCATTTGGGAAGAAAATCAGATACTATCATCAGTGGAAAAATAAACAACAAATGCACTTCACAGAAACCCCAAATACAGTGTATGACTGAACAATACAGTGGATGCTTACATTTTTAAAACCTTATTAAAGTAAAACACACATTGCCCTTACTCCCCGTCCCACTTCAGAGACATGTATCCCATCATTGCCCACACTTTCTGAATCTGTCCTGGAAGCCTTCTTTCCCAATTGTCTTTATTTGTGCTGTTAATCGTAAGAGCACTGGCAATGTGTCCTTTACTGTGATACATTTTAAAATTTAAACATTCACTACATATTTTATCATACCTCATATAAAACACAGAGTAGGCATCAGAATCATAAAAATGAGACATATGCCATAATAACTGAAAATGAAAAAGGCCATTAATGCACATCACCATGAAAAAGCCAAGAAACTGAAACTAAAATGATTACTACCTACATAAGTATATAGTAGTTAGGCAATCGATACATAAATTGAAAAACATAGCATAAGAAAGACTTTGAGAATAAAGTTACATAGATATGGCCACAAAAAAAGCTTAATGAAAATATTAAGCAGGAATTGTTATAGCTGGGTATCATTAATATCCATTATTTTCCTATGTAGCAATCAACAACTGAAGGTAGAACCCATGGCAGAGTTAAAGGAAACATCTACGATCCCTTATCTGAGTCACGGTTATCCATGAACAATACTCTCTAGAGGAATTTAATGCATAGTTTTCAGCAAGCAAGCTAGTTTCTATGGTGATACCCTCAAGTCTACCAACTTTAAGATTCTTTTGTACTCAGAGTACATGATTCTTCTCCCATCAGGAGAAAGGGCTCCATCTGGCCTGTTTTCTGGGGGAAAAAGTACATGAATTCAGTCCTCTAACACAATCCACTGACCTGTTACAAAATAAATTGTAAAAATGTATAAGCGTAGCTCAAATTATTAATTTGCAAAGATTAGGAAGTGTTATACAAATACATACTTCTGATGGATCAATTTTAAAGCCCCCAAAAGGACTGCAACAGATTGATTAACTCTAGGATTTATGGGGTTTAAATATCAAAAAATACTTCCCTTAAAATTGTCCAGAGAAAATTTCTGATTATCCCTCTAATATCATTATTAGAAAATAAATATTTCTAGTACAGCCAGACAATTATCACATAGTCCAGCTGAAGAATATGTGCTTTATTTTCTTTGATAACCATGGTGATAGTCAATTGCATGTTGACATTTTACCAAGACAAAACTGGTGTTTTCAGTATAATTCTTTTTTTCCAGAATCATACAAAGGAAGACTGACATTGGCGATTGCACTGTTTACTATTTGTCTACCTAGACATGTATTTTAGTGGTTAAAAATACTGAAAGCTATGATGCCACAGATTTGACATTGATTTTCATCACTTTTACCCCCCAGCGCCATGATTGAGGTAAGACAGAGAACCGTGGTGTCGAAGGACTTTGTGTCTCATGAAGGAACGATGATGGCTGAGTCACTGGTCTCACTTTACTTAATTACAGCCCCGTAATTTTTCTCTGATGCATTTGTGTGTTCATGAGTAGACTCTGTTTTCCAAAGGGACTCCACAGTGAAAATCCTTTCTCATATGACTGTTAATCATGATGAGGTAAAGGGTGTTTTGTCTGCCAAAGAGAAGGAGGTAGCCACATTTCCATGGCTAAGAATATAGGAAGCATTAGGCAACATACGAAAAAGTGCTCTGTTTATAGAAGAAGAGAACCGGCTTTCAAAAAAATGGGAAAGAAAGAGTTACCTTCCAGGCAGAATAACAATACAGCTGTAGACAGTGTTGGTGTCTGGATGAAAAGTTCAGCCATGAACACAACTCCAAGACAAGCAGTTGAGGAACTTTGTGGGGGTAACGTACTAGCACACGGGCTCTCTTGTTATCACTCAGCTCAAACTACTTTCAGGCTGATGGTCTTTAACTTGTTAATCCAGTGGGATCTCTGGAGATCTCTTTCCTGGCAACCTCCAATCACTGTATTGGAGAAGGAGACAGGTCTCCAGAGAGAACCACAGAGACCTGTGCTTTTGTTTCTAGGAGAAAATAATCAATTATGCACAACCTTGTGAACACACACATATACATACAGCTATATGTTGCTGTAAAGGTATCCATAATATAAAGGGAGGATAATTTGAATTTCAAACAATGAAAACATCCTTTAACTCTACTCATAACTAACATTGCAGAGTGCATTAAGTTTATTCACCTACATTCACCTATGAATATTTTGAGCTTTTAGAAGCCATGATAAATGGGCCTAGTTCTTCATTTCTATTTAGGGTTAGGGTGATTTCTGTGCATTTGTTTTGTAGCCAGCACATTTTCCAATTTATTTATCATTTATTTATTATTTATTTCCAATTTATTTCTCATTTTTCTTAAATGTAGGACATGGAACTACTACAAGAAAATACAAGAGCTCCAGCCCACCGCGCCTTGCGCCCAGGCAGCAAGTTCTCCGGGAGCGGCAGGGCTCCTGGG